AAATCTTCTGCTTTTTAATAACACAAACAAACATTTTTTTTTTTGACAAGCCTCCATGTGCCAAATGAATCCTGGTTGTTGCCACCTCCCAATGCCTTAGTTATCAATTTCTAATTTCTTTAACACAATAACAGATGTAACAGAAAGTAGAAAAAAGATTCAATTAAAAGCATTTTCAAACTAAAATATGTTAGTGTAACTTGATAAAGATGGCCATCGACTAGATATAAAGCTAAGATTGCTCTGAAAGGCTTCATTGCTTCTTCGAAGAAATTAATTAAAAGCTCGAGATGAATTTTTTCCTGCTGATTATGAATTCAGTTATCGAATTATATATTTGGCTGCTGTTTTCTCTACGATTTCGCAAAGCATCAAATTTAAAACGTTAGATCGAATGTTAACAACTTTCTCAAATTTTATTAATCTGTAACTTTTTCTTCCGTTCCAACAAAATGCTCAAAATTACCAAAAAAAAAAAACAAATTCCGTTAGGCCGAGAGAATAGCTCGTTCCTTCTTAAACTACTTTTTCTTGTTTATAACACTGAGACAACGATGAGCATACGTTCACTTTTGTCCTCGATTGTGAATTTCGTTAATGATTGTGACACCTTTGCCGACGACGCTGCATAAGCTTATTATTCGACAACTGTAGATTAACGTTAGTGCTGTTCACGCATAAACATGCCGCAAACAATAGCTACAGAATAATACAACCACATGCACAGTCATAACATATTATATGTATTATCGTAATGAAAAAGCAAACAAATGAGCAACGTTAAGGAAATGGTTATTAAAATACTTAGGAGACGGACGATCGCTCTGAACAAGAATTCATATGCATTCGAAAAACTACTATACTCTTATACATAAGGCGTCCACATATATTCTCTTCGAGTCCTTTACTGACTTTCTTCTCTTTTTTTGAGTTTGTACCCCACTGTAGGGCGGAAAAAAGGATTATTAATATTTCAAAGTTGCAAAGTACGAAAAAAAGGAAAGAAAAGACTCAGAATTTCAACAATACGTCTCTGTGTAAATAAGAATTTCCTGAAAAATTTGCTTCGGATCAAAAAAAGAACAGTTCTAAGGCACACTCTTCGTTTGCAAAAAAAAAAAAAACAAACGTTGCGGTACGAGTTTTATTGACTTGCAGTCTACCGCACCCGGGCGCATACGTACCTATGTAAATGTACAAATTACTTTGACCACCTTCCTCCGCGCGACGATCATTAGGTAATATTTCGCGGAGGGTGTTTGCAAATAGTGAGCTCTGTGTGATGGCTACACTAAGCGGTAGCCAGCATCATCTGTTCGTGATTTGCTCGAATTTGACCGAAGAAGAAGATAAACCCCTTTGAAGATTCGAGGAAATGCTTTAAAACCCTAAACGTCAATGCCGCCAGACTCATATTCTCGGAGAATTTAAACCAAAGAGTCGCGTCGCCCGTATCAATATAAAGTAACATTGCAATGTTAGTAAGTCAATGTCAGCATATTTTAATTTAATTAAATTTAAAATTCTATGTAAAGCTATCTACGCGATTTAACTATTATTCCGTTTTCGTTTTCACTTTTTATTCACATCTAACACAACAACTGCAAACGTATATGTGTGGAGTAAATAATTAGTTAAACTTTTTATGTGTGTTGTTAAGGTTGTGTCATATTTCGTCTAGAAATTCCGATACATAAAGTAGCAGAGTCCAATGGCATTCCGCCGAAGGCGTACAATAGAAACAACCAAGTTACGTATAAACGTATTTATGTAAATTTGTATAGATTTTTCACTTACCTTGAACTTGTTCAAAAGCGTTCATCCACATTCAAGTATGGGTACGTTAATATTTAACTTAGTATTTCTCTAGAAAAAAAAAAATCTTGTAAAGATTCTTAGTAAACGCTTCAATTTTCTTCTACTTTCGTATTATATGAATTTGAGTTGATGAGTAATTTGAGAGCTGCAAACAAGATAGGTAGGTAGTTTTCTTCTTTTTTTGTTGTTGTTTACAAATAAAACAAATAGTAAAGTTATATTCGGCGGAAGCCGAATCTCGCATACCCACCACTATGCTTTTCGCATTCTACTCTCCAAATTCTTTTATTCGATACCCATATCGGTGGCATTATTAAGAAAAAGTTAACCGCGGTGTCCGTCATAGTCCTTTTAAAATAACCCCATTTTTAGGCAGATAATATATCTTCATTTGAGGAGTGTACAAAATACTTTTAAACATTCGGTATTGTTTGCCTTATCACAAATACGCATAAAGCTTTGAAAAAATGGAAAAAACAAAATTTAATCATTTGTAATTTTGGGTGGGCACGGCAGATGTTTTCCATTTTTGCAAGTAGGAGTACATCGTAAATTCAATGTGGAAAATTTGAGCCTTCTAACATCTGACTAACAAGCAAAAATCCAAACATTTTTGTCAAACAAAAAAGCTGCTCTGATCAATTTGGCCTATTTTCAATGCCAACCTAAGTGCAGAAACTGCCAATGTTTCTGCCAAACTTGAAATCGGTATCTCCATTTTTGCGACAATGAGAGAGTGCCAACAACACACGCCACACAGATATAAGTAAATCAACTCAGAATTTCACGCTAATCAAGAATATGTATATACTTTATAGCATCTCAGAAGCCTCCTTTTGAGTATACCCTCATCTTACAGTGGTGAGTACAATTATAGTCTTAATGCTCAAAACAATTGAATAGGTCTGGACTTTCTAATTTACTATTTTTCGCTGTGCACACAACTTCGAATTGAAAAATTGGAATAATTTTCTGTTAGAAAAATCGTATCTAATTTCGATTGTCTGCTTCTTCTCAACGTATTGAATTGTGTAAATAAGGCCCAAGTTCGATTGTATTGAAGCTCTTCTACATATCTGTTATTTCATAAACCAAACATTTCCTGAAAGAAGTCGTATCAAAAACTCCTTCAATCGATTTCGAAAAAGCATTAAATGGAACCAGCCTACCAGTTATTTTAAATCCTCTGAAATCATTGAATCTTAAATCGATTACACCGTTTGCTTCACGAAAGCGGCTTAGAATTAAAGTTATCATCATTAATTACGTGGGCAAGATGGTCCACGACCTAGAAGATGTATTGTACTCGCCCGTGACTCCTAGTCATCCAGTTTTAGGATTTTTATGAACTCCCCACCTTCTTTGGTTCGGAGCACCATATCGTGTCCTGCGTAGTAAAATGCTGACCAAACACTTGGTGTTTGATTCTGCAGATGGACTCACATTCACATAAAACATGATGAGATATATCACACGTCCCTTTGCAGAAACTGTATGAATCGGGATCAAACATGCACATGTTTTCCAGACGGTACCTGAGGAAATTATGATCTATGTAGAAGCCGGTGACTAAACATAGGTAGCTTCCTCTTAGTTCCAGTAGTTTGTGTCCTTTCCCCGAAAATTTTATGAATCTTTTTGACTTTTCTCTGCCGTTTTATTCTGTGCCAATTGTGATACCAGCCTGTTAAAATGCCTTCTTGGTAGGCCAGAATGGTTCAGAACCTACCAGAATTAGACTTAATGAGTAGAACTACTTAAGAATATCGCCAGTCCGTCACAATTTTTCATTTCAATGAAATGAACAAGATTCTTTGCCTGGTCGTCGATAACGTCTGGCATACTGAACAAAAAAGACAAATAATTCCAAGCCATCATTATCTCGAAAAATTACTGCGAAACACATTTCAATCCGGACTAGTTTTCACTATTCCTATAACTCTTCCATCGTGGCCGCACGTGTAGGGGACTTTCTCTGAGTGGCTGATCATAGAGAGAGGGAACAATTATCGTTTTAAACCAAACACGCAGACGATTCACGCGTAGAGGTACCATTCAGAAAGAAGTGATGAAAGAGAAAAAGGTGGCGAGGCGATGGCACCAGCCTAGTGGGAGTGTCCCCGATCGGTAAGTGTTTTCAGCTCTTTCCGGCTGAGCACTCACTACAGCTACGATCGGGCTGAACACTGCCGCATTCTCGCGAGCACTGGCTGAGTTGCTATGATTCTGACCTACTTGACTACTCGTGCCCTGTGGATGTTAAAAACCGCTTTCAATTCGAAGATTTGCATTTGGAGCGACTCATTCGAAGATCTTGAAAGTACCTGCGGAACATAATTTCGATAAATTCATTAATTTTAATAAACAGTTCTTTTTTAAAAAAAAAAAAGGACGCAAAAATCTTAACTTCACCTGATCGTCTTACTATCCTATATAAATGTGTAATATAATGATTATAATTTCGATTTTTGAAACAAGGATTTCCGTTGGGAAACAATACCGTATTTATAATAAACGCGTAGAGTCGTGCAAATAAGTAAGCTTCATTGTTATTATTTGACTTTATAACTGTGCATGACATTTATCCGTTAGTAAATGCAGGCTGCTTGCTGTTGCTCTCCGAGAATGAATAGGAAAAGTAAAAGAAAAAGTGTAAAGAGAAAGAGAAGAAAAAATATTATTTGGTTTTCGTTGTACTTCGTAAATATATTTTATTCAGTCTTCGGTGGTCAACAAGTTGAGAATCTGGTCGAGATTGTTCGAATAAATAGAAATATATCGGTAAAATTCTCAATTGGAAATCTTTTTGTCTGCACAATAAACGCATATATGGATATATAAGTGAAGATATTTTTAAAAGGCAAAACACAATTGTGTCGTCGCCGACTTTTGCATTTAAAAATAGCATAAATGCTTTTTATTAAATAATGGAAAAAAAAAGACATGCGTTCTAAAATAATTATTAACTGTAATGAGACCATGTACAGAAGTGCAATTTATTTTCATTTTTAACGCTGAAGAAATTTCATATATTCTATTAAATATCGTATATAATGCGACACGGACGACACGGCATCGATGTGAGCTACTATATGACAAAGAAAATCTTTTAGATACGTATAAGAAAACAAAAAAAAATAAATAAATAAATATATAAAAAAATTCAATAAAATGAAAATGAAAAGCAATATAACAACAACAACACTAATAATAAAATATTTTGGGGTGAAAATCTTTTATATTAAAGTATGCAGATATTCTTGGCATGTGAACATAGGAATATTCAGTGAAAAATAGCGAATGCTCTTACATACACACATACATAACGAACTAAGCTCATTAATAATACGTATCTGCGTGTGTGCGTGTATGTTTCTATATACATATGCAATAAATGTGAAAAGAAAAAATGAAAATAAATCAACATCACATTAAATCATATAGAAGCATATAGAAGATTTTCACCGAAATCTTTTTTTTTTTTCTTGTTTGCTTCAACACAAACTAAAATCATTGAAATAATGCTAATATTTTTGTATATAAATAAATTTTTTTTTTTTTAAATTTTAGCAATTATCTGTTGAAAAATTAATAATAACGCTGATACATTAAAAATGACCTAAATGCGGTTTTCTTTGCATTGTTTTTCCTTTTATCTCTAAAATCATCGATAGTAAGAAACAGAAAAGTATAGAGATATTATTTAATCGACAAGAACACTATATATAGCATTTTATAACAACCCTTAGACATCTCTCTGAGAAGTCTGTTTTTGCATTGCTTTGTCAAATATATATTCCTTTTTTTTTTTTTTTTTTGAAAAACAAATAAACAAACTATTCCAAGTATCAAATATATTGTCGTATCTATCTCTCTATCATTACACCACATATGGATGACGAGCTTGAGGATAAAGTTTTCTATCAAACGTACGTTTCCCATATGAAGATACTTTCGAAATTTGCAGTGGGCGTATCGTCCATTAATTCACCGCTGGCCTATATTTGGAAATTATGTCGTCTCTATGTTTTACGACCCGAAGTTTTATTTTGCGGTGTTATACTGTTCTGTTTATTCCTCTACTTACAAGCTGTCGATACCTGGTCACGCGGCATATTGGGTCGCATTCAAGCCACCTTAAGTGGCCGACATAAAAACAATCGCATGAAACTATTGGAATCATCCGGGCAAGGTGATCATCAATGTTGGGAAGAGTTAAGGCCGCAAAGCTCAGCATTTGCGATATTAGGCCGAAGGCCACGCATGGAAGATCGGTAAGTACGATATTACAAAATTTTATATAGTTTAATCGAAGGCGGAAGTATCGTATTCAATTTCCAATGAATATATGTACTATCGTGATTAGCATAAAATTCATTTGACTAGCCCTGTCTGTCTGCTTATTTGTGTGTGGTCTGGTCTTGGAATAGTCTCTCTTCCAAACATCGTCGTTGAAAATTGATAAACAAGCCTAAATACAGGGTTGTTATTATCGCACATCATCATGAATTACTTGTCACAATATTTATTTTTCATGATAGGATACTCTGTCTGTCCCTGCCAACTTTTTCTGATGATGTTCTAACTCGATCTAAAACGATGATTTTAGCCGCGTGGGCTTCTGTCTGCTTGTTGTTGGAGTGTTCGCAGATGAAAAATTTCGAGTAGAATATTTGAAATCTCCGTTCACCCCATATTTTTCATTGACCGCTACACATTAAACTTAAAATCTTGTATAATCTGCCCTATATCATGCCTGCTTTGACTTAAAAGACCTTTGACTTGCAAGACACGATCTATGTAGTTCACGAGACCAGCAGAAATAATCTCGATCAAGCAACCAACACAGCAATGTACTTTCCACGTTGTACGACATTGGTGTCAGACGGTGGATATCGGGCATCCTCACTAACTTTATTTGTTATTTTTACCAGTCCATACGACACATACGAAACATGGATCCATGAGGCCCTAAGGCGAGTATAAGTTTTATTTTCATAACATGCTAGGAATTATTAGTAAATTCCTCTGCCTGAAACCAGCCTGCTGGGATTAAATTGAAGTAAACTTATATTCAATTAAAAGTCTGCCTTAAAAGTTACATCTATATATAGATAACTAAAGTCGAGCATCAAAGGGATTGTTATATTGAAACACTGGGCAGTTTATATAACTTATCATTTCAATTAGTTGGGAAGGACTTTTAGTTGAGAGATCACAACAATTTTTAGGTATCTTTGCAGATAGCGTAGTTGATTCCATTTTAAAATGTATATCCTGTTCGTCTAACATTACAACTTCCTTCTACATGAAGAACGAACAATATTAGTTCTAAGTTGAGCAAATCAGATTATCAAGAATGATCGAGAAAAAGAGCAGATAAATACGAAAACCTTTCGATTTTAGTTATACGCCTCCTCGAAAAGGACATACTGTTATACTATAATTCTTTAATGACTTAAGAGAGAGTAACGGTAGCATTGATTGTAACGGACTTTCTCTGCCCCATGCTTTTAAGTTGAAATGGAAAAGAAACCCGTAAGTGAATTTTCTATGAACATATGTCTAGAAATTATCGTAAGAACAGTTTTTTCTTTTTTTTCTTAATGCTTGTGTGGCACATCGTTGCTGAAAGGAAAATCAAATTAACTTTAATATGGAAATAACGTTAAAGAAAGACTTTTTTTTCTTTTTTTGCTTTGGTCTACAACTTGCATAAGTTTCATCAATACGTGCGCCAATGGTTTTGTATGCAGTATGCAATATGCAATATGCAATATGCAATATCTGCAGACAATGAGACTCGTGTCTAAAATTAGTTGTTAGAACCATGTGTGCTTTCGAAAAGGTCTCTTTACGTATGCACTTATTTATATATGAATGTATATATGTAAACTGAATATTTTCAATTATTTGCAATTATTGCATTCGGCATTTTATAGAATTACATGAACAAGCAATAGCATCACGTGCCAAAACAATTTTTCTATTGTTTTCGTAACAAATTTAATTTTCCTCTTTCGATACAGTTCATGGGAGAATTGTACATGTGTGAACGTAGCTATAATTAGCGAGACTTACTTGGTTACCATAATCTTACCGACTTAATGTGCGCACCTATATCGCAGATATAATCTGATTAATCGCTAAGCGCGCTTTCGTGATTGCAGTCAAGACTTTAATTCCCACATATTTGCGCCGCAAATGCATACACCTATGCATAATCGTTTCAAGCTTAGGCTTAAGTAAAGGTAAATGAAAGAATACTTTTAATAAGAAAGCAAGCGATTACGAAATTAATTCCTTTTAGGGCATATAAGAAAAAAAAGGAAAGAAAGAGGGAGAGAGAGAGAGATATTTGTGGCGATCATATGTATAATTGTCCGTACAAAATACAATTTAGGAAAATCTATCTATGCGAAAATGTAGTTCGCTCTATATTTTGAAACCAACGTTGTAATGCATTTTTCCGCTCGACTACAAACATTGTTTAGTACATTCATTTGCCTTAGTTAAACTAGCAGAACTAATAACTCTGTATATATCAATATAAAATTGCCATATCGGCAATAAACACGAGGGGAGTCATTAAGAGTCGTCTTTAAATTTCATAAATCGCAAGATGAAAGGAGAAGAAACTTTCAATTTTGAAAGAGATCGCCTTTGCGAAAAATGCATGGGACAACTTCCCATCTACGCCTCAATTTGCATGCTGGGCGTGTAGTCTATTGACCGAAGCATGTACGAATTCTTTAGTGGTTTGATCAAAGCTCTTCTTAAATTATTTACTCACACACTTCGCACCCATCAATCATATGTTAAATCAAATGCATTGTTCGGGATTAATTTTTGATATTCGCATGACATGATCACGTATTTATGAACATTGCTCTCAATTTATCGATTTAGCCTGCCTTCAAAAGCGCGTGGGCTTAACGTTCTCATTCCAATCGCTTAAATGCCTAAATTTTGCAAGAGGTTGCAATTAAAGGCAGACACGATTGGTGAATGAATTAATAAATACCGTCGATTTTCGATTAGAAATAAAGAACTCGATCCATCCTAGACATGATTTTTATAAAATAACATAAGTTTAACATAAATGTTCTAATAGCTTATGATTATGATTTGCTATATCACTTAGGTAGATTTAAAATTGAATGAATAAACGAATAGCAACCACGGAGAAGAAGACGGCAAAATCTCTATTAATTAATTTGACGTTACATTCATTAGCACATCGTATTAGACTTGATTTGACGATCGCCTTTTTAAACAAATTCTTTCTCGCAATGAAGACTGAACGATTAATCGATAAGCGCACATACACACACATAATATATTTGTTATTTTCTGGAGACGAGCACACACACATTTAGGCAGATAAGTTTGGATTACTATTATTTGCTTTTCTATTAACTAGTAAGACGTAGCAGTAACGTTTGCTGTGACCGAACGCTTTATACCCACCGCCTTCATATTAAAATAGAATACGTAAATATTTATTGTTGCAGTTCATAAGTAGTGAAAGAAACCACAATTTTTTTTGCTTTCAAAAAGAGAGGTGGTCTGGCCACATTTAAATTGCACTGGATGCGAGTGCTTCGGCCCATTTTTCCTGTTTTCAATATCAACTTGAATGCACCAACTTTCGATGGTTTTGACGGAATTGAAACCAATATCGCTATGTTTACGGGCGGGTAAACAAGCCTAGATTGATTCAGAATTGGATTATGCTCGATAACAGTTTATAGCAGGCACAGGCGGGACGGCGGCCCCACCCAGCTCGTGAAGTGATCGAGTCCGGCCCGCTACGTTCACATAGATAGCTGCAAATGGATTGTACCTACTTTCACAACCGGTTCTGCTGTGCGGCTATCGTATATGAAATGTGTGCGTTTTTTGTTCCTTACGCTACAAAAGCTTGATTTAAATAGAAGTACAGTGCAATGTACAGTGCCGCGAATAGTCGAGACTCTAGAATTTTGGGTGAGAGAGAGCAAGAACACAAATGAAATTTTTTTATATTTACCAGTTGGAGTATTGCGAACAAGAAGCAAAATACCAATATTTTGCGTTTTTCAAATAACAGGCGTTCTCGTCTTACGTTGTGGCGACGGTAGTCATGTCGTCTATGATCCCTTTGACCCATTTCCTATGTCCTTACTAAAATCAATTGTACATTTGATATCGGTCAAGAATATATAATAATGCATATACATAATTTAAGGTCTCTGTAAAGGTTCGTTTTGAGTATCGCAGAGGTTTTCACAAGGTGAATACACCGCCACACCGATATAAACGTATAAAAACGATTACATTAAACCATAATTTCCTGTTGCTTAGAGCAAAGTACGTAATTAAATGAATCAAATCACTATATGAGTTATAGGCGATTTTTAAAACATTCCTATTAAAAATTTACATTTAACAACACACGTTCTCAACCGTATATTCTTTCTAAGCGAAGAACGAGATATATTAGACTTTCTGCTTAAAAGAATTTGTTGAAGGATGCCCTGCAGCAATTTGCTCATTGTACTTGCAATATACTAACTAGATTCCTTTCGAATTTGATTTAAAATTTTGCTGCTGTAAGCTTTATTCAGATCAGCTAGCTTTTTAAGCTGAGATAGCAAGCACCGCGCAGCTATAAATCTTTGCAAAGGCCTGGGGTGGTCCGGGGTACGGACGGTGAAAGTCGTGCACAATACTATCAAAAGATTAATAGGAAGTAATACGTATGAAACATTTATATCGATATTTATAACACTCTTCGATGGGAGAGATACAAAATATTTGCAGCTTTCCAGAAACTCTTTTCACCTATGCCGCAATGTATTGGTAGCAATAATTAATAATAGGATTATATAAATCTGTAAAAATAATTACAAAATTTAATCAAACTTCTGCACCAGTAAGACTATAGAATCGGTCTTGTCCGATCGTGCACAGGCATTGTCACTAAGCGAGCCTGTAAATCGTTTTTCGAGACTTAATCCAGCGATATGAGTTGCAACATAAGAAGAAAGAAAGTCGGACACAGCTTCTTTGAAAAATTATGTATAGGCATTAATTGTAGTGAGTTCGGTTTAAAAGCGAGAAATAGAGACCATATTTTTGCCCAAAGAATCCTCATAAAAAGTAAATCTTCATATGCTCACAACATTTAATTTTTGTTATTCTGTACAGAAATAAAGCAACTTTGCATGGAGTTAATTTTGATTTTTGCCTTTCTTGAGAACCTTTTGGCCTTTTTTGAGAAATTAGAGCAATTTGTTGTGTTTGATAACAGAAGTCGATAGGGAATTGGGTTGTATGGGATGTAGAGAGATTGACGAGTCGGCTTTACCCGACTAGTTCGGAAAAAATACGAATGATGATTTCATAATTTGTTTTTTTTTTAATTCCATTTTTAAAGATTCATAATCGAAGAGAATATCAACAACAACACAGGCATTTCATTTTTTGCTGTATTTGATGGTCATGGCGGTGAATTTGCAGCCGATTTCGCTAAAGATATACTGGTTAGAAATATTTATAATAAAGTGATAGAAACGACGAAATTGTTAAACGGCCAGACAACGGCAGCTGATAAAGAGAAGGACTATGCGGACTATAGCAATGATCCACGTCAGAAACATCAGAAAGGCAACTATAATAGCGGTAGTAATAAGGAAAATGACCCAACAGCAGCATTAGCAATCAGACGAAGGGATAGTTTACGGAAGACGAATAGGTAAGAAAAAGATTGCATCTAATTGTCCTTTGCCGTGCATAAACATACCTACACTGTGTCTGCGTGACATTCAAGACTACAAACTAATTTATTATAATTCGATAAGATTTTTCCACAACTTTGATGTTGATAACGAAACGCGCAATAAAACAGCCATTACCGTTATCAACGGGATCTGTCCAGGACCGAAATATAAATTCCGTAAACCCCACACCACTCTATAGTAAATTTATCGAACCCTTTGCAATACAAAGACATATGCCTCCAAAGCAAAAGATACTTACCGCTCTGACAACATGATAGGATCTATTTTTTTTTGTCTACTTGCATCGTTTTTCATTTTGATTATACTATAGGGTATCCCCACATGTGCGCAAGATTTACATTCGAATAGAAGAGACTCTTCTTTTTTTTTAGCTCTAATTTCTTTTTATTGAATCACAATGCGCTTAGGATGGTGTACGTAACCAGGAAATGACTTATGCGCTACCGTCTTGTCCAAATCATATGTCATTTACATTAATATCATCTATTTTAGGCAGAAAGAAGACGATTATCAGAGCGTGATATCGAGCACCAGTAAAATTCATTGCAAGGCCAGCAATGAAAACACGTCCAATGTTCTCCATTTATAATAATCCTAAACTGTCACCTGCCAAACTGTTACACTTTATCGCAGAAACGATGGCAAATTCAAAATTTTCGTCAAATTCGGGAAACTATAGTTCTACTCGTTTCAATGACCTAAAAAGCGAGTGTAAAATTACTTCCGAATTACGCTGCACATCCATTTCTGGTATGGGGAAAAGCAAAGTGTGAGAATGAGTTGTAAATGGAAGACATACGGAAAAAGAAAGATGGAAGAAGCCTCTGCGCACATTTGAATGGCGAGCGTCGCACTTTTACATTACAATTTAGATGAATATGGACGTAGTTCAATTGTCAGACACACGGATGTGCGCAGCCGGACACTTATTGGCTTTGCCTTATTTTAACTTACCCAAGTTTCTTATATATTCCAAAATCAGATGAGTTAGTAAGTGATGACGTCACAAATAACTTAATCAAATCTAGATTAACGAAAAATACGCATTTGCTTATATCCAATTTTTTGTTCATTTTTACTTATCGTGATTTACAAAAACCCAAAGAAACCCATCTTTTTTTTTTTTTAATCGATTTTATTCAATTGTTCAATTGCAGTTGACGCTGAACAGATTCTTTATTGAGTTATTTGCATTTTAATATTAATTATTTATCAATATTTGCTTGTTGTTGTTGTTACTCGACTATAACGTCAATCATACATATTATCAATGAAACGATATTTGTATAAAAAAACAGCAACGTTAATATATGTACGTATATATATATATATATATATATATGTATATGTACGTATATTGCTCAGCTAGTGAGGCATTAAACATGCGATACACGTGAATGTGTGTATGCATATAGAAAGCAAGGGTTGAAATATTTCCCTGAAAAGATGCGCAATTTAAAAATTTTCCATTTTCCTGCATCAAGTAAATTAATTATAAAAAAAATACAACAACAAGAACAAAGAGCAATTAAGAAAGTACAAAAACAGGCGGATTTCAAGAAAAAAAAAAAGTTGAAAAATCTGAAAAGTTTTTTTTTTATATTCATGTATGCAAATTAATAATGTAACGTAATATTTTTTTTTTCGTGCGCTTGTATGTATTTATATCTTTAGCGTTTCTGATGACTGCGCATTGAAAAGGTCTATAAGTAACTCTAAAGATCCACAGGATGCGTTTACTCAGCAACTGAATTCTTTGTTGCGTGGTGTCGGTGGCGGTGCATCTAGCATTAAAGATAATCTTCTTAAATCCAACAACAATAACTACAATCAAAAAGATGGCTTGAGTGCAAACGAAGGGCCACCGCGACAATTCGAAGCCAAATGTTATATAGAGAATGGTCGAATCAATTTTGGTAAATTAATAACGGACGAAGTCTTAGCAGCCGACTACAAATTGGTGGAAGCCGCTAAGAAAACTGTAAGCTTTGAAAATTTCGATAACCTTTAAAAAAAATAATAAAATTAATAACTTTTTGTTATGTTTTATTAGACGAATATAGCCGGCACGACAGCTTTAATAGCTATTATGCAAGACAGCCGGCTAATAGTGGCCAATGTAGGCGATTCGCGAGGAGTTATGTGTAATGCGCGTGGTATTGCTATACCGCTCTCATTCGATCATAAGCCACAGCAGGTATAACTCTCGAATCAAGTTACCATCTCCGTGCATCGAATATATAAAAAATAAAAAAAAAAAATATCATATCAGTTTTAAACTAATTAAGCAAACATGACAATTGCAATCGTTTAAAATGCTTTCGGTGGCAAATTATTTTAAATGAACTCGAATTAATTTCATATCATTGAACAGTTTTCTTTTACTTTAAAAATTAGGTAAGAGAGCGTAAACGTATACACGATGCTGGTGGTTTTATAGCTTTTCGTGGTGTTTGGCGGGTGGCGGGCATATTGGCTACATCTCGAGCGTTGGGTGATTACCCGCTAAAAGACAAAAATCTAGTCATAGCTAATCCAGATATATTAACATTTGATTTAAATGATCACAAGTAAATATGAATTTTGAATTAAGCATTAAAACGTCCGTCTTACACAACATTTACCGTTCTCGTTCGATTAAACAGGCCTGCTTTTATAATCCTAGCTTCTGATGGTTTGTGGGACACGTTTAGCAACGAGGAAGCCTGTAGTTTCATAAAAGAACACTTACATGAGCCCGACTTTGGTGCTCGTTCGTTAGCCTTGCAATCGTATAACCGCGGTTCCGTTGATAATATCACTGTATTGGTGATTGTTTTTAAAAATGGCAATTATCAAATTGGATTGACTAACAGCTCGTCCAATAAAATTTATAACCAAAGTTCTTCATCGTCTGCAATCGGTTCACCGAAATCGGCAGCCGCTGTTATAGCTTCAACAAATTTGAATCGTTCAAACAGCATTCGTTCCAAATAAAGTGAAACAATGAAAAATCATAGGAATTAATTACTTAGTATTGAAAATATAAATGTATTTTTTTATTAATATTACTTATAAAAATGAAAAAAATAAATAGTCAATCCAAAGCATTGAATCTCTCTCTACATATATATATATATATATATATATAAGAAAAAAGAAGAAAAACAAAGGAAAATCCCGAAAAACAAAAAAGATTGCCGATGTGATTAAATATTATTTTTTAAGCATATTAATTGAATTTATAAATCAAAAAATAACATATTATAAAATATAAAGAAAATAATTTTAAAATATACTATGATTTGTCATCAATTATAGCGACTTATTACTAAATATCCTTCAACCTAGCAGCTTTAATTTATTTTACACTAACTGTTTAAAAATTTATGGACATTTATATCTACATATATGCCCACACGTGTGCGTATGTATTTTTGTGTATATATATGCCAAATATCTCTATGCTGTAAGCGTAGCTATTATCTAATATTTTTTTCTTCCTGTTAATAATTTATAAAATCGACTTAATTAGCATAGAAATGAATTTTTAAATAAAAAAGAACGACGCAAAAGAAAGAAACCTAAGAAAATGTCCTAATCCAATCAAATAGCCATAGCACTGAATAGCAGACGGCAAAGTTTTTAAAAACCTTGCTACTGTTTTAAAGGCCGTGAGCCGGGCTGCTTGCAGTGTAAACAGTTGAATAAGTATTGGTGCATTGTCTACAGAGTTTTGAACTAATGGACGATTTGGCCATGCAGAGGCGGCGTTGTGTCAATATGTCGATGAGACGTAGGCTAGGCTGCTCCAAAAAAAAAAACCTCTTGTGGAGAAAACCAACGCAAATAAGTAAGAAAATTGTTCGGATATAGCTACATTTTTTCATTTTGCTTTCCTTCAATATCGTGAAAGAACTTAGCCAGTAGTGTTTGTTGCCAATGATAGTTTTATGTATTGTTCATAAGGAAAAAGTTGTTTTCCTTTATAAAATCTCATCGCTAACGCATAATTCCAAAAACTTCTGAATTCAAGCTTCCGTGCTTTTATTCCATAAATTTTATAAAAATTAATTTATTCATGCCGTGTCTCATCGTTTCCTTTTTTCGTAAAGCGAGGTTCACCGACATATTACCGTTGATTTGATTTTTTTCTCAGGGGAAAATTTTTTCATTTTCTTATAACGAAAACCTACAAAAATTTGCTCACTTTATGTTCCGCGTACTATAACTATTCTATATTCTATTATGTGTTGGCCTGCTTATCTATCTACAATTCGAAATCCATTAACTCTGAAAAACCATGAAATTAAAAATTTTTTCAGTATTTTTCTATAAAAGCTACATTTTCGTACCAGTTCCATTATTGCTTGGCTAAAATAGATTTTATTCGTAAGTCTTGAATGCTAAGCGAATGAACGATTAACGTCAGCCTTCCAACTTCTATCGACAGAGCTAAAATTTTAAAGACGCTGTACAATCACTTGCAAAACATAACATTGTTCTTTACATTTTTCTTGCTATTTATTTGTTTATATAATAAACAAACTACTTTACTCATTTGTGTTTTACATTAAGATAGAAATGAAAAAATATTTTCTCTTTCATTTCTGCCTCCGCAGAATTAATGAGCAGAAACAGAGACTTGCCATACACGGATAGTGTTATCCGAATAGCCGGCAAATAAAGTTTGGCCATCAGTTGACCACGCCAGAGACAAGCATTGCGGTTGGTCGGCCTTCGAACCATTAGACACGATATCGGGGCGCAATTCTTCGACAGTTTTTTTGCAAGCCAAATCCCAAATTTTTATTGAGGGTCCGTAGGCTACGCATAGCCAATAACGGTTTGGCGAAAAGCAAAGGGCGTTAATGATGTCATTGTGCTCTAGAGTGTACAAATTTTTGCCATCATTCAAATCCCATAGTAGAGCTTTGGCATCTTTGCCACCCGAAGTGCATAGCGAACCATCAGGGGAAACGGTGACAGTATTTAAGTAACCATTATGGCCATGATGATTATTCTTCAATTTACAATTGGCCAAATTCCATACTTTCACAGTCCGATCCCAACCACAAGATACAATTATCGGGTTGGAGTGATTGGGAGAAAAACGTACACATGAGACCCAATCAGTATGGCCATCCTCCTGAATGGTAAACTTACATTCAGCTAAAGTGTTCCACAGTTTGATTGTCTTATCACGGGAGCCCGAAACAATTTGGCGGTTATCAGCCGAAAAGGCTACGGATAAAACATCCTGAATAAAGAGAGAACAAGGCTTAAGCAATTGCAAAAACAAACTACTAAAAATGCATAATGAAAATTGATTGCCTTTGGATTACAATACACTTACTGGTCATATGCAGTGCAGTAGTGGTTAAGCCCTGCCCAGGTCACTCCACTTTGTCAACCAGAAATTCTGCCTCGCATAGGCGACACAATTTTTCTTTTTGATGCCCATTATTTTTATTTTCTAAGCTAGGCTAAGCTAACACATATCCTTTAAAAGGGCACCAATTTACAAAACTTAATTTCCTGATATCCCTTACTAATCCTAATCTCAAGCTCAATTTCTATATAAAATGGAAACATTCTTCCCCACCTTGGTATGATCTTCAAAACGACGTGTAGTTTTTCCGGCAGCCAGATCCCACAAACGCAATGTTTTATCCCATGAGCCAGATAAAGCATAATTGCCATCCGAAGACAACACAACATCACTAACGAAGTGTGAATGTCCATATAAACGCTTTTGCGGGAAGCCATAGTTTGTGTCTTCATCTCGAGTCAGTTTCCAGACGATCAACGTCTTGTCTGCGAAAAGTAAAAACATATGATTTTGAAGAGAAACCTGATATCACTTTTATATATGTACCTCGAGAAGCTGAAATAATTGTGTCTGGATCTTTAGGGTTCGTGGCGATTTGCGTTACCCAACCATTGTGACCCAAAAGTGTACCACGCAACTGTAAAGTTTCAGTCATTTCTTCTCAAAGTTTTTCTACTTTCAGCAAGTTAATACATCCAACCTCATGAAAAGGTAAAGTAAAAGAGGATATGCATAACCGAATTGAAGTTGGTTGCGGCTCACATCCTCCTAGTTCAAGCAGAACTGCCAAGTGTATTGCAGTCAAATATCCGAAACAATATTGCCAGCCTAATAGTATACTGAACATAAATTTTTCTCATATCTTGATAGAAAACTTCTATTGTGCAAAAAAAAATTAGAGGGCTCTGTATCTAAAATCTTACAGATAAGATAAATGTTTGATTTACCATATTTATAACTAAAAGAAGTGGAGCATTTTAATAAAAATAGTCAATTTCGGCAAAAAGAGGAAACTCTCATTTGATTTGATTTGAAATGAATACTGCAATCCAAACGGAAGAAAAAGAAAAGCCGATTGATTTCTTTATGTACAATTGGAAGGAAAAAGAAGGCAATAAATCATATCAAAATTTTTTGAAAGTGCGACTGAGATGCTTGTTTTATGCTATTTGGCATCGGTGTAATAGGCTTTTTTTTTGGTGAAAAAGAGTGAAGCAAGTCAGTCTTTCGTCGTTTTTTCACTTGTTCGTATCGTCGTAAGTCGTGTACCAAAGTTTTGTTTAAAAGAGGAAAATTAAATTCTTGATACATTGTTAAACTTTTCCGAAATACGAAAGAATAAATAAAGTTGCAAATTCCGTGTGCAACACTGCTGTGGAGAAAACAAAAAAAAAAAAAAACAAAACCAATAAATAATTTCTTTTTAATCTTCCCCTGTGAAAGAAAAGCCGTCAAAATTGAATCGACAAAGATTGACGAGACTTTTTCCTCTACCTCGTCGGCAATGGAGGATAAAGCAACGACAAAAGACCTGGATCAATGGATTGAGCAATTAAACGAATGCAATCAATTGACAGAAACGCAGGTTAAAACCTTGTGTGAAAAGGTAAAATATTTTTGAAGGTTTTTTAAGTTCTATATGCAAATTTTTGAGAAAATATGTTCAACATTTTTTTTGATATGTTCTGCAAAATAACCCGTTAGAAACTTTGCTCTCTTTCTAATTAGCAAATTTTTCGTATAGGTACACCAATATGGTGCAAAGTGTTGTTTTTTTGAATGCACTCTCAAAGTCAGCCATTTTGCCCTATACATATAATAAAAAACATTCCAAATAAACAGTTTACACTGTCGGTTTCTCTTAAATGTTATTTATATAAGTATGAAAGAGATGCATATAGTTGTAAATTCAAACTTCAAACAAAGTTATTTATATAAATTCTCTTTGAACCCGGAGAGCATGAATAACCAAATATTAATATTAATATGGTGATTAAGTCTATTTTCACAATATCAGAGAAATTATTGGGAACCTAAAGCAAACATTCATTAAAAGTTAATTGTAAGTTGCGTAGACATTGCTAGGAGTGGTTAAATTACTGTTAAAGTCAGAAAATATGCATTCTGCGTCTGTGTTGTTTTCAATTTCTTTGGATTCTCTTCTTTTTTTTTTTTGATAAAAAGTAAGGTTAGGTATTTCAGTGTTTTTTGTTACACTATAATCTTGGAGTATTCAGTTTTCTTATGTTTTCTTCCCGTATGTATATATGGCCTCCAGTGTGGCATTATTTTTCCTGAGCGAATACAATTTTTTACATATATTTATATATATATAAATATATTGCCATTAATAATCATTGCTAATTAATAAATGGTCCAACTAATTATATCTGTATGGATGGATTATGACTAATCTCATTTTTAAATTTGACGAAATATATTAAGTCTTAGCTGAAACGTAAGAAGAGTTAATTTTCAAATAAATAACTTTTAAAATTAAAAGAGTGAATAGTTCCTCCTTTAGGATAAAAATGCTCCATGTTTTTTGTTTTGTTCTATAATTATTTTCTTCTCTGTGTAAGAAATTTATAAATATTCAAATCTTTCTTTTCAAATTTATTGTCTGCTTTCTTTTGTTTTTTTTTCGATATACGTATATGTGTTTGATAAGTAAGAGATAACACGGAACGTTAAGTGAGTTTTCTAAACTACTTTGTACGTCTTTGTCACTTGATCTGTCTCTCTTGCCTTTACTGCAACGACCTTAAATTATGTTTTCTTGTTTTCTTGAAATTTATTCATTTTATTTTTTTAACATCGTCAGCGTCGTCATCGTTTGCATAGCATAGCCATCGCCATTGCAATCGCTATAATCATTGTTTTCGTCATCATCAGCGTAATTATGAATGTGGTCATGGTTGAATGAACCATGGATGATTGTTATGGATTAGTGCATCATTTCTCTGAGTATTTATGTATAATATATAAGGCTTTTCATTACATACATATGTGGATATATGTTTGTTAATTTTCGGGATGGTGGCTTTCTTTTCTTTCGTGCTTTAAGCAAATGATGCTATAGAGGAAGAGATGTTATTTTTAAGACAATTCTTGTGTTTTTTTTTTTTTGGGTGATTCCTTCGCTGAAGAATGCTCGCCACAGTTTCTACTTTTACTGTAAGCAAGTCTTATCTGAATTAAACTTTGACAGGTGATATCACAGTTTTGGACAATTGAATCGTCTCGGCTGTAATAGTCCATATGCGTGTTTCTTGACGAGCGGAAGATTATCATCACGAAACCGTTTTTAGAAGTTTCAAAGGAACAGAAATCCTTTAATACTCTTACACAGGCTTGCAGCAAATTAAGTTTACAAAGAGAGGATTGCGATCTGCCTCCGAAAATATTCTTCTGTCACAGTAGCCAAAGAATATATATAACCCATAGAAAAATCAGAATTTAAGAATATTTTGTAATTATTTAAAAAATATAAACCAATAATCGGACATCGCTGAAGGTCATCACTTTACCAGATTTACAGCTAACTAAAAGCCACACATAGAGGCGGCATTCAGGGAAATCCATTTTAAAAAAATATCTTACAATTGATATAAAGCACTTATTATTACAAACCGCTACGACGTAGCTGTAGGCGTAAGTAATTTTGCATATGCCTGACTCTTATTAATTTACAACTTGTCTATGTGCACAAATCATGATTTGCCAACTGGTGGCGCACGAAGTTTTAGGTTCTTTTCGCAATTTAATTGGAGTGAATTTACCCGCCACAAGTTTGATTCCAAAACAAAATGGAAACTGTTTTAAAAACTGTTTCCTGCCAAAGGACATTCTATTCATCTTAATTTTAATGCATTATTAACAGTAGGTGAGGAGAGAACTTGATGGTGTTCTCTAACCGTAATTCGCATGGCTTCCAATGAAGTTTATTAAACCTAGTATGTGCCAGTTTGGTCGATAGTCTTTTGTTATTTTTCTGGGGAATTCACTAATCCCATCACTGTATAACTTTTTGGATTTCCGATCCGGAAAGGTTTTGCAGCCACCTTTACATTCTTAAAAGCGTTATACGGAGTATGAAACGTGTCGTAATCGAAGATGTATTGAAAGTTTACAGCTACCGTTTGGCACTACCATAGTGGGAGACGAAGTATCATGTCCGGACTCTTTGCCTTAGTTATAAGCTTTAATAGCATAAATTATTGACAATATAGAATGCGAACCATTAATTTACACAGCATGAGGCCACACTTTGCTGTTATTCCTGCAGCTTCGTTCACCTTGGTTTACGATATTTTTCGCTTATTATTATCGTAAGTGGCTCACTTCCAATTGGTTTTTGCCAATCGTCAAAGCTTGCCGAAACTTTTTGTTTCCTTTGAGCAGCGGCTCGCAGATGAGAATATCATATATCCTCTCAATATCAAGCTTCAGTTTACTTCCAGTCTTATGCAAACGGTTCAAAGTTGTTTTTTGATTCAAGTGTAGCTTTACAGCGATGCCTTCTTCTTCTTCACATTTTTGAATAATTTCATCGACTCTTATCAACGATTGGTTGATCGGCAAAGTGCGATAAGTCTTTAACAGTTAAATTTCTAAAGCGGTCTGTCGCTCATTTTAGTAAAGCATCTTCCCCATGACCCCCGGAAATGATTTCTTCGTCTCCTTCGAAGTGATATCGTAAAATTAGTAAATTTTATCGGAATTTTTACCCCTTTTTCAAATTATCGTCATTTTCGATCGAATCTTCGAATGTCATAATGATCACTTTTCAAGCGTGCCGTGGTATGGTGTGATAGGATTAGTGTGGGGCACTAAAACGGTTTACGGGGAAAAAGGCCACAGTGTTTCTACTTTTCAAATTGTATAAAAAACAAGTGGAGAAGGGGAAAAAGTTGTTATTGTCTTTTGACATGGGCGTTACAGCATGAAGGTTGGATAGCTCTGAATATAATAAAAACAACTTCCCACATTTAAGGTAAAATATCAACACAAATACTACAAATACAGACAAAGTGCTGATGTATTTCATTCATAAAAGAATACGCGCTCATGTGTTTCGCTAAAAGTAGAAGTAAAGTTTTTAATTAATAAGAATTGAAAATTGAAAATAAAGGGAAATATACTTTTACGCTATTAGTTTTGCCTTTAGCGAGTACTAAGTGCCTTTAATTAAATTATGGAAGTATTTTCTCCTTCTTTCTTTTTTTTTTGTTGTTGTTGGCTGGATAGTCTTTACTCGTCATTAGCCTTTTATTAAAATGAAAAGACATTTTATAAATTTGTATTAAAAATAAATTTTTTTAAAGTTATTTTCACCTGAGTTTATTCATGCCGTCAAACTGCTTGCAGTTGTAAATTTTTTTCAGATTGACCGACTGCTTGGATGAATAAAACTAACGACACAAGAAAATATTATCGCTGGGACGCGAGATTCTATTTTATTTGTGAACGAAAGCCTCGATCTCTGGATAAAAGTTTTTGGATTGTCCTGGTAAATGTTTGTCGTAAATAGCAAATCCTTTTATACTACGACTCGTGAGCTGTCAACAGTGACTTTTTAAGATATTAGATTTTAGCAGGTATTGACGGGGTACGTCCATTGGGGTAACCTGAAAAGAGAATCCAGGCACAGCTACCTAAAAATCCGTTCGAATTTAGACGCTAATCAAAAATATGTCTACTATTTTATGTTTCTGATGCGTTTCCATCCAGTAGTCCACCCATTCTCCGATGCCGAATATAAAATTAAACGAGAAATCTATTATTTATGGAAATCTCTAGTGATGGATTAGTGTGCTCTATAAAAAAGTTTGGCAATATCCGAAAAGGACGGACACAAGTGGCGTGGGTTGTGTGCGCACTCGATAATGAGAGGTGAAGGTTGCCAAATGTGTACATTGATTGTCCGATCTTGGATGTCAGTGAGTGGACTTTATTCGTATCCAAGCGGTGTTAACTCATATTCCGTTGATAAATTCCTTAGTAAAATATTGCAATCGACAAGACTTTGAACGAATTCCATTACAGCAGTACTACATTTGTTAATGTACAAATTCTTTCTCCTCACTCTACGTCACTTATGATAAGAGGACACTAACTAACTTTGAGCGGACGTATGCAACATCCAGATGGGCATGATATAGATTCACCTTTTTTGATTATGGTATATTGGTCTTGTTTCCTTGCATCCAAGCTGTCACAATTTTTGAGAAATATATATGAAATGTGGTATACCAGTGTATATTGGTCCAATGTCAAACGCCATTCAAAATGGTTCGAATCGGACCACTTCCCATATATTCGAACTATATCGATAACTGCACTAAGCGAATTAGTGTAGGGTGTTTTACATACTTTATTTTTTAGTATATCGTAACGGACATCGTTTTGCTTGGTGTTTTCATTAACACTCTTTTGTGTATTGCATAGCGTTTACATTAAGGTCACTCTTATTTCTGGAATTTCTTGTCCTGTTTGCCCAGGAACCAAGCAAAATGGATTAATGGTCATGCGGCCATTCCCACATTATGTTCTCTTAAATAGTTGGCTTTGACAACTTTTATCGGATTATAGCATAAACCAAAG